AAGTATGTATCTTCCGAAAGAATTCCGATTTTTTTGAAACTTTGAAGTTTTGTACGGTATAAATCGTCAAAGTTTCAGAAAAATCGGAGTTTTCAGATTACCTCTCTATTGAGGTCCTTTGACCTCGATAGAACCTGTATTTTCTAATAATGTCCGAACGTCTTTCGTGTGTCGCCTGAAGAGAACGTCTGGATCGTTAGACTGATGATTGACAAGAGAAAGTCCGTACATCGACAATTCCGATTTTTCTGAAACCTTCAAAGATTTATATACTTTATTAATTGTCAAAATTTCAGAGAAATTGGAACTTTCAGATTACCCTTCTATTGAGGTCCCTTGACCTCAACGAAACCTACAAAGAAATAGGAATTTTTTCTACGCTTCGCCTTTTTCAATTTCCTTAATGATATAATTACTTACAAAAGAATTTGACACCATTGGCGATCGGTATCGAGAAGTTCCGTTTTCATAGTGATCGCGTAGGCGTTCAAAGACAAGAAATTAGACGTGTGCATTATTTATTCATTATTTCCTAGAAAACAGTATTCTTTTTTACATTCGAGTATTATTGGCGTTGTTAAAGAGGTTATTTACGATGTGATGATCTTCTACAGTTAACATTGTCGGTCACACTGTAAAATTTAAGTAAAAATTTTTCCAACCTGTCAAATATAGTTTTTTTTTCGAGAATAAAGTGTCTGCAAAATTAATGTTTACCACGGAAAATCTTTATCAAAGTTGAAGCGTTTGCTGCAGTATTTTTAACGTATTTGCAAATATTTGCAACATTTTATCGATCACCAATGCGTTAAGGGCGTTCATCTCGTGAAATGCTTTTCAAGATTTCAATCCATGAAAACACGATAAGAATAGTTTTTCTTTATCAGGCTCAGCGGGAATTATTCCAGACGCGAGGTGCTATTTGAAGTGTTAAATAATTGTCTTTTGATAAAACTGTTGGTACACAGGCACGACACGGCTGGGTTTATGGCCACGAGGAAGGTTTAACGTTCGTCAGGTGCGTCTTCGTCGAGATACGGCTCCGACCTCGATTCGAATTCGACTCGACCCGGGCGGGGATCGATCGCAATAAACGGCGAAACGAGCGTTGTCATTCTATGCAAAGCGCGGGATTTATGCGCGATTAATATTTATCGCTGGGAAACGTCCAAACGACCTGTCCCGTGAGAAGTTCGTTTCGGGCATCGGATGGTTAGTAATCATATTACTGTTTTGCATACGTTCCATTTTTATCGTGACGTTAACTCGTCATTAACCTATCGATAGAGAAAATATTTTTCCTCTGAACGCACATAAATGGAAATTTTACATGTAAAATGTAAATTGTCAAGATGATTACCCGTTCGATGAAGGAATATTTTTTATCTGGAGAGGCGTAGATGGAAATTTTAAAATGGAAATATAGAAATACATTGAAATGGATGGAAATACATACAAATATACAGAAATATATGGAAATATATGGAAATATATGGAAATTATGGAAATAAGTATATCAAAATATAGAAATAAAGTAATATAGAAATATAGAAGTATAGAAGTGCAGTGGTATAGAAATACAGAAATAGAGATACAGGAAAATGCAGAAATATTAAAATAGAAACGTCCTAGATAATTAACTTAACACTGACGGAACATGTTTTATCTGAAGACTCCAACGGAAATATTAAAATAGAATAGAAAATATAAGAAACTCGTTGGAATTTGCAAGCTTATCGCGAACCGCCTAGAAAAATCGAAGGTTACACGATTCGCGTTATTCTAATCCCGAGCGCGCGCGTTTTTCCTCGACCGTATACGTGTTTCGAATGAAAAAAAGCAACGAAAAAAAAGTTGTGCATGACCAGTGGAAAATTTGGTGCCTTTATTATTCCCCGATGGACACAAAAAGAGCAAATAAAAAATACAGAACGGTCGATTAAGTCGAATGACGTTCTGTATTAATCGGCCTTCCTGTTTCTCGTACGAAGATAAATAAGTCGACTTCTTTTTTTTCTCTTGGAATAATGATAACGTAAACTTTCCTTTGAATCTCGACTGATTCATTTCTTACGTAATCGGTGGCACGAGCCGAAGCGTGTCTAGTTTGAGATTATTGTCCTCGGATCGTTGCATATGCACCATTGTTACCAGGTTTTCGTCCTTCGATGATGGAATCGTGACCGATTTGTATCGTTTCGCATCGTAATATCGGAAATCGTTCGTGGTTTATTCAAGTGATTATGTATGTTTGAGATGTACAATTTTCATAGAAATATCACTCAGCCATCAGTTGAGTTTCATTAGTTTTCTTATTATGCATATTGTTTCTATTTTACGTCATAACTATTTACAATGTAGAAGATTGTTGCTGAATCTTAATTTCATAACTAGAATGCGGATTTAATGCATATGCATTTATGCTACTAATATATGATTGCCAAGACTTCTATAGAGTTATGTAAAGTTAAGAATTTAATAAAATTTAGGGGAGGAGGGTTGTTTTGCTCGGGATCCAGTGGAACGGTAAATAAATTAACTGAAAACTTCTGTCTTATTCTAGTTTCTTTAAATTATACCTATAAAAATCTATATTTGTAGAACACACCAGCAGCTTATTTATAATGACTTTGTAAGAAATAATATTTATTAATCAATTTAAGAGCAGGTTATCTGCTTTGTTTTTTCCTATTTCTTACTAATATTCATTTACTTACAGGAACCTCGTTTCTTAATATAAATTTATATAATCTTATATATCAATATTGAAGTCCAATATTCTTCATTCTTTATCCTCACATAAACGCACATCTGCTCACTACATTTATAAATCGACAGAATTAAATGAAGAAACACTAAAAGAAAAAAAAAACAATTTTGTCGTAACTGAAAGATTCATCGTTCGACCAAAGACTCTTCGAACGTTGCAACGCTGTAAAGTTTTATGTACACCTTAATGTGACAATTGCTTTTCCATGCATATATGTATCTCTTTCATATGCGTTTCCTTATTGCTTTTCAATGCCCAACAATTTGTCCCGACCAGAACAGTCTCGTGCCCTCTGATCTCCAGTCGTGGTAAAAATACCACCAGGAAAACGCAGAATTCATTCGAACTCCGAAAACTACGACGACACTCGTGGATCGATATTTGTTCTCTTCCCGAAACGTTTTGTATTTCAAATAAATTTTAAATAGTTTTATAAGATAGATGTATCTACCATATAGAAGTATACAGGGTGTCCCACGTAAGTGTCCACAGGGTGCCCACGATGATCGTGATTTCACGAGTCATTCTCGATCGAAATTTCTTCTGGTAGATCTCGAGGGGTTGTCAAAAATTCTTTGGTCGAATTTATATCGATGAAACAGCAACTTCAATGACACAGAACGCACGATGTAGCACCGGTATGGAAGCGTCGTCACCTCCATTTCTCGTTCCCTCGAGCTCTTTCTTCAGGCTACTCGTTTCGCAATTATTTCTATCAAACATTTTAAAAGTTTCTATTCAGCTCTCAGCTTGTGCTCGACTATAATAATCGTTCATTGTTCGGGACGGTCTTAATCACGTTGTTCAGGAAATTCTTCGGATTGACGCACAGTTCTTTAGTGTGAGAATCCTCGGTTCGTGAACTTTCAGCGAGCCATATACACTCCGATTGACAATTTTCCACGGAGATCTGTTCCTTTCCTCGTGGGAAGGAATGAAACCGCCGCTAGAAGCGTGGCTGCCGGCGACGATTATGATTTCTGTGCCGCTTATGTAACGAGGACCGAGATGACGTTCGAATTGAATTGTTGTGGAGAGAATGGAAAGACCGAGTCTTCCATGAATTATATTCGCTCGATTATCCTGTCGACTGACGAAGACGAGCTGACTAGTCGTTTGGAAACGTTTCTTAGCTGGGAAAAATCAGGGCTAAGTTGTCGGTAATTTTACAAAAATTGGTTTGTTATTCCATTACTTTGTTTGCCATGTAATCCTAACATGAGTAACATGTAAATTGCAAAGAGGCTGGATTATTTAAATATCGTTACAAGATTGTGTAAAATTAAGATCATAGTAGAATTTAAAACAAGACCAACAACCTTTGTTAACTGAACGCATAAATTTTTGACGATTTATGACTTAAAAAAATTAATCGAAGTGTATAATACACCCTTTTTCTATAACGCTTAGGTTTCGAGATAATCGAATTCGGAGATGCATCTATCATATGTGAATATTCGTGCCGAGAATAAGTAGAAACGGATATAATGATCAGACGGATTATCCAACTCCTATTCAATTGTTCGGTAGATTTTCGAATTCGATTATCTCGTAAAAGAGCAATTTTAATTTAATTTTTGAGTTATATTCCCACGTAGAATAACCTCTTATCTAGTGGTAACATTCCTTCTGGTCTATTCTGTGTTTATTGTTTCTGTTTTCTCAAGTCTGATACTTGGATAACAATATTTCTTGTAGAAATTCTAAGTAGACAGACTCGTAGAAGTTTAAATGACTTTGTAAGAATTAATGTCACTACCAAGATTACTTGAGTAATTTTCCGAATTAATGTCAACAAATTGGACCTTGACAAGGATCGGTATAATTTTTAGTTTATTTTGTGCTTAATAAACTGCTTGGGAACAACTTAATTTGTGATTTCGATTCTTCAAGAACTGTCCACGATTGCTCATAAATTTAATAATTTTCTTGTGATTATTAAAACGAAATGTCTGGGAATTATTCTTAAATATAATTCAGTCTTTAGTATCGTGATGTACAGACTGCGCCTGCGATGGCCAACCAGTACTACACGGCTGTCACAGATTCCCTTGTAGTGTCTACCAATTGTGTGTCAGGAATCTCGACACTTTATCAGAAAAACTGCACATTCTCTAATTGACGTTCTGTGTAGATTGTTGTTTATCGCATTGGAAATATTTGTCGATTATCAAAGAGCAAACGAGATTGTTAACAGACGATTGTGTTATTGCGTTAAATGGTCACTTACCTGACAACGACAATCGCAGAACCAACGCCATACGGGTGAGAGCGTCGACCATGGGAATAATAAGCTCTTCCAAAAGCTTGTCATCTGTTAATTGGCGTTAGTCGAGCAGTTAGTAGACACCACAAAACATTACAATTAATATACGATCTCGAGACAGCTTCTTTGAACCGTTTCACTTTTCAATTAAACATAATACCTTGCCAAATCAAAACATAGGTATTGTACACTTATTGTTCGTAATTAATAAATCATGGAAATCTATGGATTTACAACTTCACTACGGATTCCATACATTTACAATACTCCAACGTGTAGAAAACAGTAAAATAAAAGTATAAATTTCTATGAACATTCACTCTATTTGTAACAGGTATAAAAATATTCAGAATGCAAATAAATAAAAGTCTTCTATGTCGAGTGTGACGTAACAGAGAATTTTTGATAGTAAGAACAAAAAAATTTATCTGACATTTGTGTTCATGAATGTCCATAAATTTTTGTTTTTATTCCAATTTCATGGTCCATGAATTCTGGGCCTCGAGTGGAAGGCGAAACGTCAAAGAAGCCATCGAGGTGCTTGAGACGTTAATTGGCAGGTGGGTAACGTCGCGTTTCGCGGCGCGATAGAGGGTGAAGGCAAAAAAAAGTGATGGCGATCGAGGCTGTCGAGAGTTAATTGTTAAGTGGTGTAATAGATGAGCGACCGCGAACGTCGTCGGCGGAATCGAGAAAGGAATTCGAGGCTCCCCTCCCCAGACATGTCGGTTCGTTCGTTTCGCGAGGTGTTCGCGCGTCTTCAGCAGATGGCAGCATTTGCTGGTTGAACCGATGACACGCTCGAAATCGAATAAAATAAATTTAAAAAATTCAAAACTCAACACTAGACTACGAATTTTATGCATTGAGATACAGTTAAAGACAAAATTTTCTATTTTATTCTGAACCCAATGAGATACTTCAGAGAAGAAAGAGGTTTTTATATTTATTCTTTGTTCTTATGAATTACTTTAGAAAAGTTATTAAGAATCTGCAGTCTACTTATCACTCGAACATGGAATTTTAAGTGCAAAACAGAATACAGAAAAATTTGTCGTTCCGATTAGTATCTTTTACCTTTACTTTGAACTTAACGTAGCGTTTTACATTTGAATTACTAAAAATGGCGGATTGCAGATTTCTTAGTTTATGATTACTGAAATTATAACGGTGCTTTTAATTGACTATACATTATATGTTAATATATTATACAATATTATTTACTATACATTGAATGCTGGCAATTCTAGTGTTGATAAAGGAAACAAGACTCTGACATAATTTCAGTTCACATTTAAATATTATAGTTCCAAATTTCTTTGCATTTTGCGTAAATTAATAATCCACGTTTCAATACTGCATATACTACTATAATTTAGCTACACCATTGTTCACAAGCACCAGAACACCTGGTCTGTATAAGTAAAATATGTTTCACAAAAATTATATTTTTCGGGTCACTTTTATTACTTTAGTCTGGCATAAGTGTTGTCGATCGATAATAAATATTCTCTAAACAATATTTATACCAAACCTCCGAACATGCCTTCATTACATTCATTTCATATTCGATACGTGTCCCAATATCTACTTACAAACAGGAGTGTAATTTATTTCTTGCTAATGCGTACTTGTGAACGATCTACTTCCATTTAAATCTTCTCTGTCTTGCTACTCGAACCCGTATGTAATTACTTTTTTTGTCAAGGTATGCATGAGAACGTGCCGCCTTTGTTAAACCTTTTCTCTGTGACTACTTCGTAACTTGTTTCATCGGCAGGAATTCCGTGTCTATGAACTTTTCTTTCAAATGAAGCGGAAGATCGTGTCGACGATATTTCTTCCGATTCATCGTGATCGAGGTTTTTCCGCAAGATCAACGAACACGAACTTGATCGAACCTTCTACTCTCTTTCTCCTTGCTCGATACACTCAGTAGGTTCCACATAAGACCTCTTTTAAATTGCAACTCGCCACTTTCATTTAAGAACCGTGCGAAAACAGCAGTAGGGAAATTCAACACTAATTCGGCACCATAAATAATCTATTCCTGTATTCTTATGTATTAGGTGCACAAATAATTCGTGGCCTCCACAGATAATCATCGATTCCAAACCACCATAATTTTTTCTAGAGAGGATTCGTCAACTGCCCCAGAAATTACGTAAATGTGTAGAAAGCCATAGGGAAATTTACAAGACTAGGCTATACATATTTTTTTTTTTGTAAATAAAAGAAAAATCTATGAACAGAACGCCACGAATTAATTTGTACACCTAATATTTTTATATTTGTATTTCTTTTATCAAATGGTGTTACCCGTTTAATAAATATTATTATTAAATAAAAAGAAAGAATCGTCGTACCTATGTCGAGGATTATTTCTTTCGATCGATCGCACCCTAGCTCTATCCACGAGGTGAACGAACACGAACTTGACCGGGTACTCTTACTCGCTTTTTCCTTGCTCGATTCCCTCGAAGAGTACCGATGATCCCAGAATAGAATCAAGTAAAAGAAGTGTTCGAACAGAGCCGTACATTTTAACTTACATGCCGGATGATCGTACAGCCGATTGATCGGCGCGTCGTCCATCTTCCCGATTAAACCCACGACGATCTTCTCAACGAAGTCTCGTACAGTTTCCATCGCGTGCGCCTCTTCTTTCGCGCTGGCCGTAGCCAGGCCCGAGCTGGCCGCTGCATTTTCCACTCCTGGAAAAATAGATTAACATATATTGAACAGATCGTAACATTTGGATGCAATTAACCCTTTCGTTCCCATTATAGTTATATGTCTACGCGTTATAAATTGCAAATAAAAAGTTTAGAGTATCATGTAACTTTTTGTCTCTGTGAATATACAGGGTGTCTCATATAAGTGTGACCCCCGAATATCTTTTATAATTGTGAAAACGCAACAAATATTTTATACCTAATTTGGATGGAACTAAGTAGTTGGTGTCCTGCAAAGGTGATCTTTTTTTCAAATGTTGTTTTTCTCTCGAAGTTTCCAAGGTCATCGATGTATTTGTTTAAATAACTACATATTTTTTCAAGGTCATATCATAGCAAATATCAATAAAAAAAAATATCTAATTATTTTGAAAAAATTATCGATGACATTGAAAACTTCGAGGAAAAAATTACATTTGAAAAAAACAACGCCTACGGGATACTGACCATTTAATATTATTCAAATTATGGATCAAATATTTATTGCGTTTTCATAATTAAAAGATTATTATAAAACAATTAATATATTCAGGGGGTGAGGTCACACTTAAATGAGACACCCTGTATAATAGTTTCTTCTAGTCTTGTATAAATGGCGTGACACAAATTTTACTATGCGTTTAAAAGCATACATATCAGTAAAACAAGACAGTATTATCCTCTATTTCTTTCATTGGCTGGAATTCAAGTGTTGAGCATTGTTAGCTAGTACAATAAAATCTTATAAAGCCTTAATTTCTTTCAAACGTTTCAAAAGAATTTACCATGAAAGGCAAGAAAAATAGGTTTTATTATGTATAATAGCTTTATAATGTAAATTATTATACCTAACTGTATGGTACATACAAGTAAAAAAGTTTCCAAATGACATCGAATGAAAAATAGCATTAAAAGGCTTCAAAATGTTATAATGCTGATGTGAATCGTTCATATGCCATGTAATGTAGACAAAAATACAAAAATTTTTTTTTGTAATTCTTACGTAATTTGGGAATGAAAGGGTTAACTGAGTTGTTCACAGGCCAAAGTGACTGTAGCTCCACGTTAACATTTTTTTTAAATTTCAGCGCCAAAGCACTTGATCGGTGGTTAACTTTGTATATTTTATATTTTTGCAGAGATAATCACTTTGGTAAACGAACGGCTCGGTTAATGATCAGAGTCGATTTTAGTGCATATTGATCCATTTGAACGATGTATCTCTCTAAGGATACGCCATTGTATCCAATTTAGATTATTCGTACAAAAATATGAATTTCTTGAAAGTTGATGACTTCTTTTTAGTAACTTTTACTTTGTTTTCATTTTTATTATAAAATTGAAGAACCTGTACCATTTCGTGTCACGATTTTGTGCATGCAAACTTTGATTCAAGTTTGTTCTTCGTTATTTTGATCGGTTGATTTTAGATAATGACAGAACGTGATTGAAATTTTTATATTCGATTTATTAATTTGAAGTATTTGAAAATTATCAGGTTGAGTCACAAATAAGTTCCGACTATGTCGGTTCACTGCATTTTACAATTAACATCCCTATATTACACCTGGGTCGTTATTGCACACGGTAAGTGTCTTTTTAAAAAAATTAAATTTCAGTTTAAATATTCCTATTATCGTTGCTATTTAACCCTTTCGTAACCAGTGGCCCTCATACGTCCTACTTGAGTACTCGAACAAATATTGATCTCACTGTCAGTTTAGCATCCCATTGCAGACACGATGATCAGTAAATAGACAATAAATTCTTTAGAAAAAAATTCAGGGTTACGAAAGGATTAATTGTTATTTAGTAATAATTCATAGTCTCCACTGTGAAAGATACCCACGACTGAACCTAATAGGAATTCCCATTGGAATCATTTTATTAACAAATTACACATTGAGTCAATTCCAAATTAACGAATAAAAGCCATAATATTCATTCACATTTCACAAATTATATGTCCAACCTCCTCGACACGTCAAAACTATGCAGATTAAAAACAGACACGAGACAGGTTTACGTTTAAGAGGCTTGAACATCCACCAGGATTCGTTTACCTGTCACGCAGATAAAAGAATAGTTCAACTGACAGGCGAATAATACTATTACAACAATATTCCACACACGAAGAGCATAAATTGGACATGAACTTTCTACAACCGAGCGCGGCGAAAAAGATTATAGTAAGTTCCGAAATGGGGTGATTCCGATATGGGTACAAAACAGCTGTTCATACGTTGTCATTTCGAAGTGGGTCATCGTGTACGGGGTACCATCCGACATTAACATATCCTATTACCTTATCAAACCACCACACGTAAATATTCTATCGGAAGATAAGACAAACACGTGGAACCGTGTGCGTTCCCGCACTAAGTAGACCAGAACAGAGGACAGTTTCCTCCGAACCAACAAAACAACAAATTAAACACAACAAAACTGCGCCAGGCCGAGAATCCCACACAGACTCCTCCACACATCAAATAGTGTCAGTGTTAAATTGAACGAACGAACGAAAAGAAAGAAACTAAGGGAAAAAGAACTTACTCATTCATGCGGCAAAAAAACTTTCTCTCGTCGAGTCTGACAGTTCCTCCTTAGACGACATCGCCGTTTCACATCGTTTTTATTTTTCGATAGGCCCAAGGCAGATACACCGTTCGCGGGATCGGTTTCAAAAATTCGTGCGCGGTTCCGTTACAGAACGGATGCGCCGCGATCGCGGATCCCTGCGCGACTGACACGACCGAGCGCTTTCTAAACGAAAGTATCGACGACCATTAAAGATCTACAAGCTTGTTCCTTTTTTCCCGGCGTGTTTGTAACCGCATTTTCCTTCGCGGGGGACCGCACGGACCGGTATATCCGTCGGTTATCACTGGATCGCGGGCACACGATCGTCCTCGCTCGATATTTTCGCGCCTGACCGACAGCTTTGGGATCTTAAGGATCGAGATGATGAGGTACAAGGCCTGAATCTTCCGAAAAATTTTCTTTTCAATCCGGGTAGATCGTTTGTTCCGGGGGATCGAGAAAATTGCGATTCAGGGCCTGATTCTTCTCAAAATCTTCCTGTCTAACTCCTGGTAGATCATTTCTTCCGAAGGATCGAGAAGTTTGTAGTTGAGGGCCGGAATCTTCTGAAAATCTTTTTTTCAACTCCAGGTGTATCATTTATTCGAGAGAATCGAGAAGATTGTGGTTCAGGGCGTGAATCTTTTGGAAGTCTTTCTGTCCAATTCCTGGTGGCTTGTCTCTCTATGTAACCAATGGATCTGCGCAGAGGAGATGGACCTTCGACGATCGAGATCGATTTTCCGATTCCAAATTCGAGTTGACTTTGGAAATCTCTGAAACCTTTAGCTCCCAGGTTCTTCCTATTCTAGACGATGGTAATTGCCATCTGTTCTTCAGATTCGCCCTGCTTCTCCTATTTCAATCGACGAAGACTTTCTGTGCTCCAGTGTGTTGGTTTTACTGGATTCTGATCACTTTTTATGGGCAGCTTCTAGAATCTACCGGATTCTGGATCAAGATCACTCTCCCTCCAGATTTGGCTTGAAACTTGCCTTCTGGTATTCCCACCGTCGAATTCCTTTGATCCTTGTGTTCACCTTTTAGATCCCTTGAAGCACCGAAGTCCATCTACAATTTTCACCGTTCCTCTTGATGTTTGTAATTCTATTTATACAGTCTGCATATATTTTATTTATCCAGTCTGTCTAGCATAGACGAATCATGAGCAACACGATGATTACCTCAAACAACAAAAATCATCATATTCCACAAATTCGTCCCTGTTGCAGTCACCAAACGAAGATAACCAAGATCCCCAAAAAATCCCCACGATCCCTATCAATCCGTTCAACCTCTCAAATCCACTTTCCATCCAAGTCACCCCGAACCGAATCAACCGGTCCCAAGTGTCCAGCCTCGATTAAGTACCCACGACTTCCTTGCATATCCCGCACACTTCCAACATCCCTGCCCCAACACCATCGACAATATTCACAAAAATCTTCAGAATTCCTCAACGATCAACTACCACAATATACTCTTTACACACCTGGTCAAACACCTCGGAACGAATCAATCGTGTAAACTCTAAATCGAACCCCTGAATTTCATCGAAATCAACCTGAACGTCCTTTCGTGTCCCTTTCCATTGATATTCTTATTCGCCAGCCGGAAGGATTATTAATTCAGCTCCTCGATCGGCCCGTGGACAGTCACCTTGCACTGTTCCCGCGTGGCCTGACGTTCGATCGATTCTAATCGATAGTTCATTGTCGAGGAACCGATTTTTGCTAGTTTCCGTGATCACTGTAAATACACACGTGTCTCGCCGAAAGACGACAGAACGGGTCGAAAGACACCGCGTATTCGAGCGGAGACGACGACGGAATCTTCGTAGTAACGGGGCCACAGAGGTGGACGAGAGAAAGAGCAAAAGAAGGATATTACGGGAGTAAGCGACCGATGTTACTCCCGTGAGTACTGGAGCAGAACTGAGGTTCGCCACCTCGGGGGCCCCTGGAGACAATGAGACCAACGATCGCCGTAGCCGACGCCATCGCCGTGCGGTTCCGCTTGCCAAGGGGGCCGAAAACCTTACCATCGGAATCCGAGCCGGGGGCGATCCTTCTAATCGATCGTCCCCCCCTATCCCCCTCGTGTACCTATATACTTTCAAGATCACGGTCGTTGTCTTCGATCCTTCTTGCGCTCCGCTCGATTCCGTGGGGAATGAACTTGTGTTGAAGTCTTCTTGGAAGGTTCCTTGAACGGAGCGACACGATATCTTTTTAATTGACCTTGTGGGAAGGTCTGTTTTTTTTCCCGTTTGATTGGTAATTGGCGGGTAGAGAATTGTGCTGGTGTAAGTCTAAATATTGAGATTTTGAGTTGAACCTTTTCATAACTAAATTATTTAAAAATTATTAAAGAAATGCGATGTATTTTTGTGTATATTACAGGATATATATATAAGTGGTACAGAAGTATATTTTTACATTTTGACACGGTCTAATGCTATTTTTCATTCGTTGACATTTGATAACTTGTTTAGTTTTATCGCAGTTATATATGATAATTCCCAGTATAATGCTTTTGTACATAATAAAACCCAATTTTGCTTATGTTTGATCAACGAACCTTTTATTTCAAAATTAAATGAATAAAAAAGTAAAAAACGTTTCAGGCAAAAATTGTTTGCGAGGATTAATAACCCGTTAAAAAAAATATAGGTATCCGTTTAAAAAAACGAAGTTGACCTTCAAATGACCTTCGAAACGTTCATCAGATTAAAACTAAATAATGTCATTCTCTCTTCCCCTCAAAATCGAAGAATTTTTGTGTAAAATACGTTCTTATGAAATGCTTTGTTTTTATGATATTTCCATGTGTCAACTTATATGCCGCACCCTGTATACTTATATCATTTATAAGTCTGCACAATATTTATTCCACAAGTATAAATCCATCGAGGATTGATAAAAAAAACGTTACGAAATGAACTTGGTTTTCGATTCCCAGAGAGTCACTCGAGGTCGCGGTCATTCGTTACACGTAGAAGGATCCGGTTTTCAGAAATTTTGCCAACCGGTATGCGAGCAGCCTGCACGAGAGATCTTCGTCTCGTTTCCTAGAAGAAATAACGAGCGCTCGCGCGGATCTTTCGGCTCGTGAAAAACGAAGAGCACAGAGACAAAAGTGTCCGGCACGGTGCAGTCTGACCATGTTTGGCCAAAGAACCGATCCTTGGTATAGGCCGGCGGTTAACAAACGGAGAAACCTGATGTGCAACTGTGTTCGAAAGAATGCAGTTTCTTTTGGATTAGACTCACATTGCTTCGTGTTTTTGCAACACCTAAATAGATCCTAATTGGCTATTCCTCCATTTCGATGGCTTATATTCATGTTCAATAAAAAAGATCGACTCCCATTTAAATATTCTGAATCAGAGAAATTTTCATGCTTCATGTCTAATAAATCCGATATAATTAATTAACGCAATGAAGCAAAAATCGTTTTAATATGAAAAAAAAACAATATTTAATCATTTGCTTATTTTAACAATTTAATTTACTCGTTTTTATGTATGTATAATGCTCAGGCATTGGTTCATTTACTGGTGCATCCACCCTATACGGGGTGTTTCACCTAACGTGGGCACCTTTAGTATCTCACTCGCTCTTAATTTGCAGAAAATTCATTGTAATAAATGCCCAAACGGACATTCATCAACTTCGATACATTTTTGCACTAATCCCTCTATCGTAGTCATTGTATTATTTAAATATACCCTAATACATTTGTGGATATTTCACACACAAGGTCACACTATTATAGGCCATAGGATTGGTTTTGCTTTCAACTATTTCCCCATGCTGATAAAAATGTGTAGACCCATTAAAAAAAAACATCTATGACCTTACAAATATATAAATATGACCTTGAGAAAAATTTTTGCTTATCACAATATTTGCTCCATCTAACCAAATACAGTGAATCCTCGATGAATGTTCGAAGGTTTCTCAAATAATACAATGCCTACGATAGAGGGATTAGTGTATCGGGGATAGTGTAATAATTCACTGTATTTCGAAGATGCTCACGTTAGGTGGGACACCCTGTACACTCGTGGATCATCGTATCCGGTTGTGACGGTTTGCATTTTTCCGAAACGTAACGAAGGAATGCTAGTTTCCACGGCGAGATGAGGTAGGAGGTCGGTCGTTGGTATCTTGGTTATCTCGCGTTAGACGCGGCTCCGTTCCCGATCAAACGGTCCGATACGATTCACGAGGAGGGGGAAGGGAAAAAGATCCGTGGGTTGTGCGCGCACCGAACAATGAACATCGCGGGGAATCCACCGTGAGAGATTTTTCGTCCCGTTCTTATTGTTCGGGCTGGTCTTCCGTTACACGACTTTTCTGGCGGTGAACAAGGACGCTCGAGATAGCACAATAGACCGAGGGAAGGGGGAGCGAGGCCATTCAAAATGGAATCAACGTCAATTAACATTTCACTTGGCGACTTTCTCAGACCAGCATCCGGGCTAATTTTATTTTTCTTTACTTTTTTTTTTGCGGCGCTTTGTGTCACGGATTCGCGTAACCGTTTAGCGGTTCGTTTAGAAGATTCAGGGATCGAAATAAATAGTTATCTTTCGTTTTTAAAAACATTTTGTTCGAACTTCTATATGCTTCGTTTAACCTTTTTTTAATTGTTAAACATAACATGTTGAACCATTTTTTTTAATGATCTGGGGTGGACGGGGCAGACGAATGCAGGGTCAATTTGACTCAAATAAAATTTCTCTTGTACGCAAGTTTCAAGAATAAATTGTGCATAATGTTTTAAGTATATTTTCAGGTTAATATGTTACATTTAGATGGGTCAAAATGACCCTGCATTCGCTGTACGAGGGTTAACAGTTTGACTGCCACGTCACCCAAATATGGGTGACACGTACATTGCAAGGAAGTCTGGATATTTAAATGTCGTTACGAAATTTTGCGTAAAATTAATTTCGCAGTTGGGTAAACAAACCAGTAATTGACTGCATACCAGTGAATGATCATTAAGCAAAGAAATGTAAATTATAAATTTAAAAATAGTAAGTGTTTGTAAATGAAGTGTAGTTGCACTTTTAATATGCCATATTTTTAGTTTAGTGTATTAAGCAAACGTTAATAAGTACAATTGTTATTAAAAATATGTAAGAAATGTAGCAGTCATTTACTGGGCTTTTACACGTTTTGCAGTTTACATTTATTTTATTTTCAAGAATTTTTGTTTATCTGTTGTCGTAGGAATTTATAATATAAGAACGTATTTTTAAAAAAGTTCCAGGATTCGTGTTTTAAATAAAACTTACGAAAAAGTTCCATAAGTTTTTCGATCCCTGCTCCATTCAACTGGATCGGAGAAATCCGGTTCTCGAGTTTTCTTGTCGCGTTAGAGGAATTCGTATCTTTGTAACGTTACGCTTCCACCGTTTCACGTTCGTTAATTCAATTATCGCTTAATCCACCTTGGTAATTTTTGCTGTTGTCGGCACAAGAAGAGTAGCATATTGGCGTGCCAGTTGCGATAGGTCTAATAAGCCGTAGATAAGACTTATCCACACGATTGGGCGGAGACAATGGTGACTCGCGAGATTAAAAATAGAAAAAGTAGATATTTATGTTCGTGAGGATAAGTTTCTGAATAGACCGTTTATCGACAGATTACGAACTTCGTACTCTTGACGTGCGTTCGAATGTTTAGATTCTAATATTTACAGAAACAATTACGAAAACTCGTCTGGCTTCCAATTTCTTACTTCTTTTCTAGCTTCTATGTAGATAAAATGATACTACTTGCATTCTCGAAATTCGAACACCTCTCACGAAAGAATTTCCATCGATTGGATCGTGGAAACTCGCCCGAATGTTTCCCTGGTTGTCGTTCCAGGACGTTCACGATTAATTCCTTCTCTAAGTATGCACAGCATCGGCTCGTCGATCGTTTCACCGCGCCCACAGACTCCCACCTGCAAATCAATTCGTCCGAAAGGGGCGAACAATTGACCACGCGACCGTCACCAGGTAGCCAGTGTCCACGGACAATGTTTTTCCCTTTTGTTTCTTTCCGTGGGATCGTCATTTGGAGAGGAACTCATAGGAATGTTCGACCCCACGAAACTTGCATTATTTATAAGGGATCGCGTTGTCATTCGCGATTGATTTCCACGACTGCCGAGGTATTTTCGTCCTTCTGGACATGATTGGTGATTTTTCTTCGACACGTCTCACCCTTTTGTATATTATTTTCGTGTTTCGTTGGAGGTATTCAGTATTCGGTTTCTACGGAAGTCACAGATCTAGACTGCTACATTTATATTCGAAAGATCGATAAAATGTAGGTACTTTTGCTTTAAAATATATCACCTCATAATTAAACAAAAAAATAGTGGATTACTTATTGGAACGTCTAATAAGTTGCTCTATAAAATTCTACATTTGCATAAACGTTCGCGTAATGTGTCAAGCTACGACGAATATTTTCAAGTCGTTAGCCAGTTCCGTTTATGGAGCGTAAGAGATATAATCAATCAGAGATAATATCAATACAAACCTGCAACGTAGACCCGTGATTTAGCCGTATTGAAGAATCGGTGTAGATCTCTCTGGTCGATCGATTCCTCGGCGGCCGCGAGCGCGGTTTTATTTAACCAGTGCCTGGAGAAGAGTATTTCTCATTAAAGAACCGTTAGAATATTTGCCGGAGATAATTAAGTAATGTTTTAGAGTACAGTTACGCGCGGCAGATATTATTCGGCGATCGTCACACCTCCTTTTTCAAATGTAGTTGTTGCAGTGGGTCAATTTGACCCAAGTCAATATTCAATCAATTATTGTTTAAAATCTATTTGTTAAATTAAGTCGCGAAAAATTCTCAGATAAATTTTGAACATTGTAGATTATATTTTCATGGTTAAAAATTAACATTGAAAGTTTCATCATGTTTACAAAAATTCTTGAAAGGAAAAAGCAAAATTCTGAAAAAAAGTTTTTTTAGGATATTTGAAATTACTATTACATGGCGCCAGTAGTACCATTTTCAATGAAAATTCTAAGTTAATTTAACCCAGTGTCACACCTGAGGGTTAACGACTAACTGGAGGATTTCAGAAGGTACTCGGAGATAGCCAGAAAGATAAAATATAAGTATTATTTTTTTTTAGTAAATAAAAATAAATATATGTATATACATTATACACAAATTAGTATCCGTAGTTTTCCACATTAACGTTAAATTAACCTTTAGACAACAGGACTATTTTTATTTGTTATTCGAAACTCTTTATCTAGATAATGAATTTGCCCATCTCTGATGAATAGTAATGTCGTTGTTAGGTACCTTTGCTGACGACAGAACAGACAGTGCCAGGCGTTGCCGGATGAGTCCCAATGGGAGCAGCCTTTCCTGCAGGATCTGCCACCGCAATCGCTGCAACGTACACTACGAGCAAGGAGGAACGGCTTCAGACAGCAGGCGCAACGATTCTCATCCACTGGGAGCTGTTGCTGCTTCTCGTCTTCCTTCGAGCCTTCGGACTTTCTGCAATTCGGAAGACAATGCATCGTGATGATGGCGATACAGTGATCACCAGGTGAGTGTGACTCATCTTGCTTATGAATCATTCATAGAGAGTCTCCGGTGTTTACCATTTACTCTTCAGAAACCATATGTTTCATAATCGCCTAGTTGACGGTCATTGTGTACAATTTGCTACGGACAGTTCGGTATCATTTACTATTTACCATCATTGGGTACTATTTACTATCTACTACCATTTGGTACCATTTATTTTTTACTATTATTGGGTACTATTTACTAATTTTAAATCCTATTATTGGCTATTTACCATCATTGGATACCTTTTTCTATTTACTATCATTGGATACTGTTTACCATTTATTATCATTGGATATTATTTACTATCTATTATTATTGGGTTCTATTTACTATCATTCGGTACTATGTACAATTTATTATCATTGGGTATTATTTACTACATATTATCATTAGGTACTACTTAGTTTGACAATTTTTGGTAGCTACTTATTAACCCATTAGCTGTAGAAAACCAGAGAACTCGTCAGTTGTCCTTGACTATATCAACTAACAATTTTGTATTTTCCTCCTTGTTTACACATGGAATTTCGCAATCGATCGTGTCGAAGTAATTGTATTAGTAGAAGAAACAGCTTATTCGCGTTTGCCGTAGAGCAAAATGCTGTAGATTATGTTTTTTTATTCGTCTTTCTTTGTGGCTCATGTCAGTATTGAGATTCAAAAAGTTATCTGGTCAACTGGATTATAATTGGGAGTTAAATATTGTTTAAAAATATTTTTTACAATGAAAATATGGAAATAAAGATTGTCATATTTTCTTGTTTTATTCATGCATTATGCTCGAATATCATAGCCACGGGAATAATGAATAGACTGGAACAGCAGTTAATTATAAAACTGAATGTCTCTGTGTAATACACGAAATGTAATAATAATGTTGAATCTCTCTGTGCATCCTGCTATGAACCACTAATTTAGTACTATCTACTCACTGCCACCTGTTGCTTCCCATTCGTTGCCCATTAGAAAACGAGTTAATGATAATCAAATACCAATTATAGAATGAAAACAGTAACCTAATGCTCACTGAACAAATTTTTAGACATTTTGATTTATCCAAGATGCAATATCATTCTATGATCATCATATATTCATTCATATATTCTTAATGATCGCTTCGCTACTTACATTCGCTGGTTACAACATGCAAATTACGAAAGGAAACATACTAAATAACAAATTACACGTGTCATCCTTTTTTCACGTGCAACATCTCCATAAATGATTATCCTGTTCTTTACTGCGTGATGAATACGATTGAAGGAACGACAGAAAAAAGGGGACGTTCGGTGTATTACGAGAAAAAGAAAACAATTTTATTCGACGATCACTTTACATCAACAGACATTCTAATTTTTAACTATTCACATTTGTTATTAATTTAAACCCAAAATGTACAAATTGTCTTCTGAATCATTCTCATCATGTCATCTAATATACACAAAAAGGCAATATAATATTCCTTTCGTAATTTTTAAATAATTTGAGAATGAAAGGGTTAGGTGTATTAACACTAGAACTGCCGACGATGAACGTATATTTATTTCTACCAGATAGATTAACATGACAAATTTTAGAAATATACGAATTCATAAATTAATTAACTTCTTCACTTTCATATTGTAATAATAATTGTAAAAAATCTCAGAAAATACAGTGCTGTAAAATGTTAATCATCGTTATTAGAGTGTCACTAACCAGTCATTTTGACTGCTTTGGTAATTCTCTAGTGTTAATCACCTGCACATCAATCGAAACTCGTACGCTACACGCTTTACAACTTCTCCCCGTAACCGGGAGTATGTAACGCAGACGGGTTACGTAATAAACGAGTTTAAATAAATGTACTTTCGAAATGCTTTCTTGGTGTATTTAATCCGGCTGACTTTCATCGACCGTGCGTGTGCGCTCGGTTACGCAACAGTGTTTCTGTTAGAGTTAGAAGACGTTTTCACGCTCATCCGGCGATTTATCAAATTCGAAACCAAGGGGGAAATTAGAAATTCACTCGTATGGATTTACTGAATCGACTTCTTGATGTTTACAAACGTCTTGTTGTAAAGGAGAAATGTTTTTTTTTTCCTTTTCACAAACATCTCTGACTTCCTTATTTTGATAATTTCAGGGAGTCACGGAAGTGTACAAATGGTCAACAATCTCAGTACATGTTGCTTAATCTTCACGGTTTGCGTACATATGTACGTACTGTGCGAGCCAGAAGCGAGTACACACATTAGTAAAAGATTTCGAAGATAAACTTCAAATACTTCGAAGATCATATTTATAATTTTTATTACGCAATGATAATTTTTATAATTTTATTTATAATTTTTATTATGCAATATTTCCAACGAATCATTCGGGTTATAATCGTAACACTCGTGGACTGCTCAATAAATCATTGCATTACTATTCCTTGAATTAAATTGTATTAAAATCGAATTAATGAAATATGTAAAGTATTGGTGTCAATTTAATTTACTTTCTATGATAAAAAACGTAATCAAGAATCACACATTGGTTTTATATACATATTGAATCGCGCAAACCACATGTATTAAGTGTCGTTGAATACTAATTTGATGTTTTGAAATTGCATATAATTATGTGGTCAGAGGTTTTATATACATATATTGAACCGCACAAGCCAAATATATTAAGTGCTGTTGAATACTAATTTGATGTTTTGAAATTCCATTAATTATATGACCAGAATCACACATTGGCTTTGGATTATATTGACCCGACCAGTGCACGAGGGTTAAAACAATATTTCGAAGAGTAGATTTAACTTGTTTTTCTTCTTTTTAATTCGAAATGATTTTGTAATTTTTGTCACGCAATATGGTTTAGTATTTTTCTTAAATCAGATTATCTTCCATTAGTACTTGCAAGAATAACTTGAAGTTCTTCTTCAGATAAATACCTGATTGCATTACTTAATCTATACATCGATTCAAATTATCACATTCATAAATACGTCCAATAGTAACGTTAAACCTTTTTTTTTTCTCAGTCACATCCCAGTATATATTTGACTCATAATTCATACATTGTGTAACAGGCACTCTACCTATATTTTCTAATCAGATTATATCACATTAGCACAATATTTCGCGTAATAACTTTAAATTTCTCTTCTACTAATTCCCTCGTCGTAATCCTTTCATAATTCATTTAGCGTATAATTTACATCCAATCTATTCGTTAATACAACCATCAGGGTGACACATTTACAAAATTATATACTTACAATTTCATTCTGACCGAATGTCCGTTCGATCCTGAATCATTACTCCGTCTAGACACTTGAAATAGTATACAATCTATCGTATCGTATTATGCAATTCTTATGTAACGAAGTTTTTACACTTGTCTCCGCTATTCGAATACTTTCATTATACATTTTTCTCGATACTAATTCCTTAGACATTATTGGTATTCCTTTTTTCGCGAAAAAGTAGACCAAATTGACGAAAATAGACGGTTTTAGAGGATCAAATTAATTTCTCAAACGTTATTTTTTTTTCTCAAAAATGCAGAATATATCGACAAAAATTGGTCGACTAAGGGACGAAATTAATTTCTCAAATGTTATTGTCACTTTTTTCTCCAAAAAGGTGGAACAAATCAACAAAAATCGTTCGCCTGAAGGGACGAAATTAATTTCTCAGGAGTTATTGTTATTCTTTTTGCGAAAAGGAAGAATGCATCCACTAAAATAGGTCGCCTTAGAGGACAAAACCAACTTCTCAGACGTTATTGTTATTCTTTTCATGAAAAGGGAGGACAAATCGACGAAAATGGGTCGCCTCGGAGGACAAAACGTGTTCCCATTAATTCGCCCACGGTGGCGTCAATGACTCCCTTTATTTCCGCTGCACTTGCGAAACACGCGGCGCGTCTGACATGCTTGACACGATGACTTTTGTTCATTGTTCGCTGCTCGCAACGGCCACGCGTGCGATTAATTATTCATGCGGGTTCGATGGATTACGTGGCTGCTGTCTTGGCCGATTCCTAGCGATCCCGAGCGGACTTCGATCGAGAACCAGAAAACCGTATAGTACGTGACAAAGAAAGTATCTGAAAATTGTTGTTATATGGCGATGTTACAAAAATTCTGCCCTGAGAAATGTTTACCATTGCTCTGACGCTAGCTTTGTATAAAAAGTTACACGGATATACCTACATATTAGAAAATATATAAGTTTTATCTATATTTAGATAAAATTATTCGAAAGTTTCATTGTGAAGCATACAGTCTAATCTGAAACAATTGAATTTCATAAGAACATTGTATTATATTTTTATTTTATCCATTCTAGGATGGTACAAGAAAATTTTCAAATAAAAAAAAATCATGGTCGGTTTAAATGGATCGTCAATATCTATAGTTTTTCTATTTATGGATATCCCGAAATAGATTAAATTCAATAATAAAATACACAATTTGTTCGATAACTGTCATATAGAAAATGTATCGACTTGTAATCGATCTACGAAAACAACGATTAGGCAAGACAAGGATTGATTACGTTAGTGAAACATCGATACATTTCAAAACTATGCATTTCGAAACTATAAATCTGAAGCTCCTAGTTTTGAACTGAATATAGCTATGAAACAATAATAAAACTTCGATGCGCACGAATGTATATCGTTTTTCTGTGTACTGAAATACTGTTTTTGAATACACGATATGTTTGATTTTAATTGAATCTTAATCGGAAAAATATGGAATAAAAAATTTCACGATTTATAATTATGAGATGTACTGTATAGTGTCCCTAATTCAAATACCACAGCAAAAGATAAATATTGGCCCAATACTGTATCTTATTTTCTTCTCGACGATTTTCCCCCGTTTTACATGCTTCGATTGGCCTTTCGGCGTTCTGCTTTCATCATTCCTCCACATAATTCAGGATTACCATTGAAGGCC